GAGACTTCTAGCTGCCCCACATCCTCACTGACACTGGATTTTTTTGTATTTTTCATTGTATTCATTCTGTGGAGTGTGCTGTTATTTCATTATGGTTTTAGTTTGCATTTCTTTGAAGATAGCGTTTTATCCTTTAACATCTATTCAAGTATTTTATCCTTTTTTTCTCATTGACTTGTGTTGTGGTTTTGTTGTTGTTGTTGTTACTATTGATTTGTACGAGGTCTTTATGCACCCCAGATATAAGTATTTATTGACATTCACATGGCTATGGGTCTAATTTGTTTTTCATTTTCATTGTTTTAGCATATATTAGAAATGCAAATTTAGTTGGGACTTGTATTTAAAAATGGACGTAGACTTACTCTGTAAGTGTTCAGCAGAAACACATGGGTAAACACTCTGCTGCTTAGTATTTGTATATAGAATAGCACAAAGCTTACCTACAAAGATTGTAAGGTAGAAAATGATTAGAAGAAACATAATATTCTTATAAATATATTGTGAAAAACAGAGTGATTTTTGTATTTTCATGTAGTATATATGGTCTTTCATGAAAAAGAACATAGGAAGAAATATTTTCCCTGCTTAGATTTATGTCCCATGTATGGCATTTTAAGGTAATTGCATATTCCACAGAGTGAATTTTTTCCAAAACTATGTGGTTGCCTTTAATGTAAATTTGAATTACTTAAATTTGGAAGTAAACAATACAAAAGAAATGATATATTTTCATTTTTAAGTAATGGGAATATCATAGTGTTAAAAAGACATCAACACCCATATAACTTCAAAGCTTATGACATAGTGAATTGCAAACTGTTTATTATTTTTCCCTTTAGGCATACCACATTATCTGGCAAACAGAACCTTTGTTGAGATTTTATTCTGAGTTATACAGATTTGAAATGATACAAAATATCTTGGATAAAATTCTACAGCCTTCTTACTGGACCACACCTCTTCAACCTCCAAAACTTTATAATTTAGTTATTTAAATGGAATCTTTCTTAATATATTACATGCTTCCCTGCCCTTTTAAACTGAGTAGACTAAAACACAATTAGAATTTTCTTACTAAGACATATCTTCACAAAGTTTTTCTTTTTTCTCTTTTTTTCTTTCTTTCACAATGCTATATGTCACTTCTTTCTGACACAGGTGGCATGGCATATTAGACAGAACCTGGATTAGTAGACTGAATCCTGGTGCCACTTCTATTACTGTCACATTTTATGAATTTGAGGGTCATTTAAACTCCATGAGCCTCGTTTTCTTAATAATATAAATTAATGGGTTGGGCTATAGTAGTGTCTTTAAGGCTCCCACTGGCTCAGAGATCTACTTATTCGGTGGAAATGTAAAATTTCACAAATATCATATTCAGATAAGTGGATCTCTCTCGTGTGGGTGTGTGTGTGTGTATGTGTGTGTATGTCTGACAAAAGTTTCCATAGATCGCCTCTCTAGATTAAATCCTTCATCATGTAGAATTGATTTTGGGAAACAAAAGGATGTAAAGATCCAATTTCACTTTTCTCTTATAGAAAACCAATTGTCCCAGCAACCTTTATTGACCTCTGTATGTTTTGCTAACTTATCTGCAATGCCAGACAATATACATATAAATTGTTTTCATATATGCTTATTAGTATGCACACGCACGCACAGACACACACACATTTATATATATGAACCAGAATCCTCTTGACTACCTATCATCAAAGGAGCAGAATAATAAGCAATGAGAAATGAGTTGAAAGAATTGGCAAATATTTAGTTTATTGATCATGGTTAACTGTTTTCTAAGGACTGAGACCCAAGTTCTTTATAACATGTGAAATTGCCATGGGATTGCATAATGCCAAAATAAACTTATTACAGTTGGTCAATTTTTATCTTATCAGCTTCAGCAGTATATAAAAATTACTTTCAGTAGCCTTGGCAAAATGTGGAATTATTTTCTTTTCATTTTTATGTCAATTTCATGGCTATTAAGTGGTACCTGAATATAGTTTGATTTTGGCCATTTCCTCAATACTAATAGGTATGAACATCTCTTCATTTACTCATAAGTAATACATATCTATTTTTCTATGAAATTACATTTCTTTTGTCTATTTTTCTCCATTGGTTGTCTTTATTTTTGTATTTATTTGCTGAGATGCTTGGCATATTCTGGATTATAATCCTTTGTTGATTAATATGAAATGAAAATATTTTCTCCCAAATTGTTATTTAACTTCTTATTCTATGGTGTTATTGATGATCCAATATTCTTAATTTTAATGTAGATGAATGTATCAATATTTATTAGTGCTTTATTCTAATTTTAGAAATCCTTCCATTCTTTCATATCAAAATTTATTGTCTGACAAGTTTTCACAGATTGACTCTCTAAATTAAATCAGGCATCCATGTAGAATTGATTTTCGTGAACAAAATGATGTAAAGATCCAATTTCACTTTTTTCTTATGAATAACTGATTGTCCCAGTAACCTTTATTGACTAATCTATCCTCTGCACACTTATCTGAAATGCTTGACAGTAAAAATTGTTTTCATATATGCTTAACAATATTTTAAGTTTGATTATCATTATTCTCATTTTACCTATCCTAATACATTTTCTTAAGTACTATAATTTTGTAATAAATGTCCATCTTTACACAGGCAACTTCCTTCATCTTCTTTATCTGGCATATCATGGCTATTTGGGACTCTTTTTTTTTTTTCCTCATAGATTGTGCAGAAACAGCTTTTTACATTTATATTTTTAATCAATTGAGATTTTTATTAGGATTTTATTGAATCTATAAATCTATTTACATATGTTGGAACATTGATTGTCTCTAGTATACAAAACCCTAAATTCTTTCCAAAGTATCTTATTAAGCGAAATAAATTTGTAGATTATTTTAGTCTTTCAATTTGTGCATTGTATTTACTTATATGATGTGATTTTCTTTATTTATAATCTTTATAATGTTCATATAGTTTTCTTGTCTTCCTGCATTAGCTACAACGTCAAGTGTAGCACTGAATATAAATGTTGATAGTGGGAATCCTTGTGCTGTTTCTTATCTTAAAGAGAATATTCTAGATTTCATAATAACATATGACTTATGTTGCTTGTTTTAGATGATTTATCACATTTATCACATTAATTAGGCAAGCAGGAAGATACCTACTATTTATCACCAACGTATCAACTTTACCAGATGTCTGCACAGACATTATCTCATTGTATCTTCACATTCATTCTGAAAGATTGGTATCTCTAACCATTTTCAGAAAGCGAAATTCAAAAAACAAATAATTGTTCTAGTGACAGCTAGTGGCCAACCTGGAATCCAAACTCGTGTTTTGACCCACATTTTTCTCAGTATAACAGTAATATCTAGTTGTGCTTGTGCCCAATATTGAACCACTTGCCATGTTGGACTGACCAGGGGAGCAGACACCTGGACTATAACTTTCTGAGACAGGAATTAAGTCCATTGTGTTCACTTCATTATCCCCAATGACTGGTACTGGGCTTAACCCTTGGGAGGTGCTCGCCAATATTTTGAGTGTTTGAATGGGAGGGATTCACTATTATAGATTGAGATGTCCTTCCTATGACTCTTACTCAGAATTATTTGGTCTGAGTGATAGTCTTGGCTAATAATTTACTAGTAGTCAATGACTAATATTCCAGGACTCAATTCCTGGTGAATACCTCTAGGTGCTCACCATGATATTTATTGCTATGGTTTGACTACCTGTAGCCACTGACGGCATTTTCTACATCCAGGAAGGCAGGTCATCTGGCTTTGATGCGTTGAAAGTGATTTGAGCTCTGATTCCAGGACATGAGTTATTTGACAATCAAATGAAAATTTCTGAGATTAAAAACCTATTACAGGGGAGAGTGCAACACCTGCTGATGTATCAGCCCTCTCAGGGGCATGATAGTGATAGTATGTTGCCAGTGGGACAGATTAAGTTTCTCCAATACCTTTTATAATTATATGTTTATAGTTTATCAGAAGCTGATTCCCAATCATGCTGTCTCATTTTTCTTGGCACAGCATCATTATTGCCTAGAAAGTCAAGGGGACTTATGGCTTACATTCTTCCTTTGGTTCAACTCACCTCATCAGTGGGAGAAGTGTGTTCTTTCCAAATAGCCACCTTTCTATATGATCTGTCTAGCATCTTGTGAGATCTGCTTTGTTACTTCTAAATCTGGTAAAGACTAAGATACATAGAAAATGTTGAGACTTCATTTATATGCTATCCCCATGACGATGTGCTAGAATTCTTACCAATGTCATAACAGCCAGCCCTACCATCTGCTTGATGAGACCAGGGAATGGATCAATAATCCAGCTGACTCCATTAGACTTTCTATCGCTACTCCCTCCATCCAGAGAGAAAAAAAATGCACATGCTTTGTAGGAGATCTGTTTACTCCCAGACCAGATTCTATTTTTTTTTCTTTCCTTTCTCCTTACCAGATAATTTGTTATGGTCTCTCAATGATAAAACTGTTTGTCTCTTCATTGAAAAAGATCTTTGAATATAAATGCCTCACTGAAAATTAAAATAATACCTCAGTTGGATGGAGAGATGGAGAGAATGTTGAAAACATCCTGGAATCCATTGTTGTCAGCAGAGTGGAACCATCCAATATGCATTTATGGTACCTGATTCATGCCCTGGAGACATCTCAGAGCTGCTTTCTCTGATCAGAGCTCTTGCAGTGATACTGAAAAATTAATTGAATTTTCAAGAATGTCAGCTTTAGCTACTGCAGCTGATGGCCCAATAGTTGAGGAGATTTATTAAATATATACTGCCACCTACAGTACTATTTGACTGAGACAGGGTTCATGTCATGGAATCTAATTAAGCAGGGTTAATTTGGGGAGTGATTAGCTATTGTTTCTGTTAAGATCTGCTGATTTGCATAGTGTATTTGTTTACTTATGTATGTATCATCTGTTTTCCTCTAGGAAAAGAAGAATATATTGCCACATTCAAGGGATCTGAATACTTCTGCTACGACTTGTCTCAAAACCCCATTCAAAGCAGCAGTGATGAAATAACTCTGTCATTTAAAACCCTTCAGAGGAATGGACTGATGCTTCACACTGGGAAATCAGCTGATTATGTCAATCTTGCCCTGAAAAATGGAGCTGTCTCTCTGGTCATTAATTTGGGATCAGGGGCCTTTGAAGCACTAGTGGAGCCTGTGAATGGAAAGTTTAATGATAATGCCTGGCATGATGTGAAAGTCACCAGGAATCTGCGTCAGGTAACAGCGCAGTGGATAAGAGAGTAACTGGCTTTGTTTCTCGCTACAGCTGTGTGTGTGGTACTTGAAAACTCTAACAACATGATACAGGGCTCCTCAGAGTCACTTGCAAATTAACTTTTTCTTCTTCTGAGATGAATCTTCCTGCCATACTTGAGCAGGGGCATATCTAGAAAGTTCTGGGGGCCCAAAGGCTATTTTGATACAGGGCCATATGAAAATTTACAAGAGGGCTGCAAGGATATCCCTGCAACCTGCCCTTCCTGTGACGTGTGTGATTTTGTTGTGTTTCTGGTTTTTTGTTTGTTTAATATTAAATTATAGTTTTCATGGTGATCATTTGGAAGCATGCACATTGGGGTCATTAAATCACAGTTCCTTTTTTGTAGTCAAAACAATAGTGTTTGTGATTTGGGATTGTATCAGTCCCTACTCCCTCCTCCTCCCACCCCCAAAATGGGGACCAGAAAAGTCCCTGAGGGGAAAAATGACTTTAGGGGCTTACATATCTCCTGAAGGGTCTGATTTTGAAGATATTTTTATTTTTAGCATAGATACTTTAAGTTAAACCCCAAATGACTCTGGAAAGGCCAGTTAAGCTTCTAGGTGCCCATTTCTATTTGATTGTGTTTTTAAAAAATTTTTCGAGATGCTATATACTAGGAAAATATCAGCTATTTACTAAATCTATAGGTCCACATATACTGTATGTTTTTAATGAAAACATGATTACAGTATATATATATATATATATGGATGAAAATGAATAGATTGTCCTTTTATATTGAACATTGTAAGTTTGGGTATTATGTGAAACTTTATATTACAATGTATCATTTTGTTAAGTGTTGACAGTGACTAATTTTTTTGCCTTACATGCTGATCTTAAACTAATATTCTTAACATATTTGTTGTTTCTCTGAACAGTTGCAGAATGACCGGATTGTCTCTGGTTTTCCTTTACCAAAACAGCCCTCTCTTTCAGAGCTGTTAACTGTCTAACCTTTTCTTTCCTGCTTCTGAAAGGTTTAAACTATCTGAGCTAGAGAAACAAAAAGGAGCTTTAGGAATGTAGATTTAGTCTAGCTAAGGCAAACAAGTAAAACTGAAAGATTCTTGAGGACCCCAGACCTTCCAGATCCCTCACTGACATGGGAGGGGGACCTGCATGCTTCCACGTGCCTTTGGAGAGGGTCGGCCACCATCAGTACAGCTGTAGACCACGGGTTTCCTATAAGTCTGTCTCTTTGGTTTTCCTTTTTTAAATTTTTTCTCTCAGATATGCACAAAGAAACCGGAGGCTCATTTGAGAGAAGCACAGAAGGAAGGGTGGGGGCTTGAGGAGTCCACTTTCTAGATTTGCCTTTGCTCAGGTTACAAACCAAACTGCGAATTGGTAGCTCAAAGGAAACTTGTAGTTATACAGCCCGGGTGCATGTGTAGGAGGACAGATTAAACACAAATCCATTCTACTCATTCTATGTGTCAGGATCTTTGCTTTGTTTCATTGCAGTAAACTGTGACCCTAAAGTCCATCAATATGACCGAAGGAAGTTTTGAAGTTGAGGAGGAGTCCTTGTATGCTGTAAAATTGAGTAGTAGGGCAATGCCAACTGATTCCTACTAATTTCCTGGGGCTGGGGTGGGCCAGGGTGGAGGAGGGGCCAAGTATGGGCATAGGGCTGCAGTGGTCAGCTGAAAAGCTTTAGGCCTTTGAATCCCTTTTAGACTTTTCCAATGTCTCTCAGATGTACTCAGGAAGACAAAGGGAACATTGCCATGTGTCTGTTTCTGTCTAGTAGCGAATTATGAACAATAATAGCAGGAAAAATATTACCTCTGTGGGAGGCCTACTTGTTAGTCTGCTTTTTTCTTGTAAAATTTTTTTGCCCTTTTTCTATGTTACTAACATGCTTAATAACTAACATGTCATTCATGGAATGTTTCATTCTACTAACCGTTACCTGAATCAAAAAATGTACTAACATGGTAGAGACCATCATATTTTTTAAGTAACGATCGTTATTCTGTTCACAGTTTTTAATTTCCTTTCTCCCCCCTTCTCCACAAAGCACTCAGGCATTGGACACGCTATGGTAAACAAACTACATTGTTCGGTAGATATCATTCTAATTGTTTCTTATTTTGGGTTTGCCGTGTGTTTTCTTTCTTTCTTTTAACTGTAGACATCATTAACAAAAGAGGAACTGCGGTTGGTACTCTTCTGCTTACTTTGACCTCCTTCTTTTCATCTGTTGTTGACCTTCTTATTTTTTACCTGTTCCTGTCAACTTCTGTTTTCCAACTCACCTGTAGGGGCATCGTTAACGTTTCGAACGTTTTGCATCCAGCTGTGGTTAACACGGGATAAGACAAAATGGTGGCTGGCCCGAGTGACCGCAGGCTCAGCCAGTCTCTAACCATTCATGATGCATGGCATGGAAACTTGATTTGGGAATGCTGGAGATGCCACACCCACTCATCTTTACGTCATCACAAAGCAGTTGTTTTTTATTTTTTATTTTTTTTCCTTTGGATCTCCCTGTTTTCTTTCTTTCCTTTTCTGAACTGTACTGTACCTCTTGCATGTGCACATCAGCGTGTGCCGCTTCTACTGGTTGTTTTGCCTTTTCTCTCCCTTTGGCATGGACTTAGGCACTTGCATGCTGAACAATTGCTGCTCAATAGTGCAAATAGTGATGTTGCTGGAACTAGCTTGCGCCTTTTATGTTAACAAGGTGCACGTTGTGATTAGTTAATAACAGACAACTAAACTTTACTAATATGTACACCAGCAAAACTAACCTAGGAAGCATTTTACTAACACCATTTTTGTGTCTGCTCAATAACTTTTGAGTTGCAATAGGGATGATGCTGACACTAGTTCAATAATCAGTTAACTCTCTAACTAGTTTAGATCTCTTAGGGCTAGTTGAATAGAATCTAAGAATAAACCTCAAACAGACATGAAAATGGGTTCCATCATAGGTCTAAAAACAAAAACCAAACAAACAGAAAAAAGAAAAAAGCAAAACAAAAAAAAAAACAAACCAAAACACAAAACAGGCATATCCCAGGATTACAGTATCTAGGTCTGAGTATAGCGTGTCCTTTCCCTGTGCTTTGTTATCTAGGTGACAATATCAGTGGATGGGATTCTCACCACAACGGGCTACACGCAAGAAGATTATACCATGCTGGGGTCTGATGACTTTTTCTATGTTGGAGGCAGTCCCAGCACAGCCGACCTTCCAGGGTCACCAGTCAGTAACAACTTTATGGGCTGTCTCAAAGAGGTAAATATCGTTGTCATCAGAATCATTCCTAATTCATGATCTCATCATTTCAGATCCAGCATGAAAGCACCTTTGCTGAAGACCCGATGTTTCCAGACTCAAATGGAACAACTTTAAATTCAGTATTCCACTATTGTTTATGTAGGATTGGGGGAGGGAAAACAGCCCATAGATCATTCTGAAAGAATTAGGTTCCTCTTCTTTACTAGTCTGTAAGTAATTTACATTTGAGAGTTGTGTGGACAGTTGATATTAGCTGTAAAAGAAAGTCAAACAAAAAGAAGTACTGGGTCTAAAGTTAAGGTAATTGGTTTACTTGCTTATTTCTACCTAAATGCCATAGGTGTTATGTATACGGTGAAGACTTTTTTGAGTATTAAAAGAAAAAAAGAATAAAAAGAAATTAGGCTATAGGAGAAGGAACGACTATGTAATTCAAAACAAAACTAAAACAAAATAAGTCTGTATAATGAAATAATTTTGTTCCCTTATTTTCAACACGTTCTGGAGGAAGTAAAACTGTTTCATTTGTTATCTGATGAATTTACTTGATATTTATCTGAGCAAGAACGTCAAACTAAATGATATCAATAATTTCATCCCTCATTATCAGCTGTAGTTGCCTATTGTAACTTTGTATAAGATTGGGATTTGTTGGGTTTGGGGGAGAGAAAGATCAAGAAGTTCCTGAATTTCATTTTTTAATGAATATTTTCCATAAAAGCTACCTTTAAAAAATTTCATTCAGCCGGGTGCGGTGGCTCAAGCCTGTTATCCCATCACTTTGGGAGGCCGAGACGGGTGGATCACGAGGTCAGGAGATCGAGACCATCCTGGCTAACCCGGTGAAATCCCGTCTCTACTAAAAAATATAAAAAACTAGCCGGGTGAGGTGGCAGGCGCCTGTAGTCCCAGCTGCTCGGGAGGCTGAGGCAGGAGAATGATGTGAACCCGGGAGGCGGAGCTTGCAGTGAGCTGAGATCCAGCCACTGCACTCCAGCCTGGGCGACAGAGTGAGACTCCCTCTCAAAAAAAAAAAAAAAAAATTTTCATTCAGACACAATCCAATTTCTTTGGACTACTGGAACCAGAGGTTCCTCTTACATTGTATGGCTACAATTTAATTGCATAGATTTCTAAAAATCAAAGTTAAATAACTTTGAATTCACTAACTGTTAGCCATAGGTGTGGTTGATAAGCAGTGATGTACGTTGATTTATTCTAAAGTAAATAATTTAATCATATAAACTTGATTCAGTTAAGCATTAGAGAAAAACAATTACTACTGAATTATCCTTCCCTGTCTTCTCTTTATGTGAATATACTGGTTGATTTGTTGCCCAGTATGTGGATGTATATAGAATAGTCCTGAGGGAGATTTAAAAGTACAATAGTTTTAACAAACATGAGGAGGTGCAGTTCTGTAAGGCCACACCTACCCATGCTTTGTAGTAGGAGTGATAGATTACCTTTCAGAAAGTAACTTTTACTGTTTACAAATATGTAGTATGATCCAGGTTTGTGTTAAGCTGTGTAGAGGATGATAATCTAATAATTATTATTATTATTTATTATTACTATAGTACTAATATTTCCAGAGCTGTTATTTTGTGCTATTCTAAGAGCTTTATAGGAATCCTCACAATATAGGTAGACATTTTATTATTTGCATGTTTCAGACAAAGAAACTGAGATTTGAAGCAGGTAAGTTTCTTGGGGAAGGTCGCACAACTAGTAAGTATTAAAGTCTAAAGGTTAATTGAGGAAGTCTGATTTCAGTGTCCTTTGTGCCCTTAACTACCATAGTTAAGAGCCTTGTTGCAAGAGAAATGTTTGTTAGAGTTCCTAAAAGATTGTACAAACTCTCAAATATGTTATAAACTAAAACAATGTTTACAAATGTATAATAGACTGTGAGGATTGAAGTATTAAATTATTTAACACAGTTATTTGATTTAAAAAGCGTGTGAGATGAGTGAGAGTTCTAGAAGACAAGGAGAGAAACACAGAAGAGTCAGAACGTGAGCATCTCAGACAATGACTGATTGACGCAGGCAGGGACGGAGAAAGCATATCAGGTGTGGTAAAATAATGCTTAGATTTTATTAGAAGATTTCTGAAACTCCGTTCTAGTGATGGAAAGTGGAGGGCAGAGCCACATCCTCAATCACCCGTACCAACTTCCTCATTTTCACTGTGAGCCAGACCAAGTATAATCAGTCCCTACATCCTGCTTTATCTAGAGAACAGTAATCCTGCTTGGATTGGAAAAAAGAAGGGGAATCGAGGGATCTCTAGCAGAAATGGGAATCTAACTAAAGAATTCTTTTGGGCATCTTAAAAAAAAAAAAAAAAGAGGATTTCTGCAGTGAATCCCTGAGTTCAGCTGAGACACATAATCTTCTGATAATTCTGCGTAAGTGAAGCAGTTTTTTTGTGTGTGTATAAAGCTGCAGTTAATTGCCTTAATCTAAAATAACTCTAAAATAACAGTTTGAGATTAAACTGTGCTTCAGATTAACACCTCTAATTTATGAACTGATAAAGATTCCTTACCTTAGTATTATATATATATATATATATAGGCCTTTTAACCACAAAAAAACCACAATACCAAAAAATAAGTCAGGTGGTCTTCCAAGTGCCATGTTAGTTCACAGCTGGTAAATTCATAAAAGGAAGATTCACTCGTGCTGTTTTCACTATGGGGTTTGGATACAATTCACTCTTTTTTATTGATTAGACACCTTCCACCTCTGTCTTCTGCATCTGGGGTGTGTGTTATGTGTTTGAGGAAACATGGTCACTTTTTTCTTGACTTGTGTAATCTTTTTCATTTTATTTCTCCTGATGCACTATAGTTTGGAAGGATATCGGCACAATTAGTCTATAAATCAAAACATACCTAACTTGGAGGGCTTTTTCTTTCTTTTTTTTTTTTTAAGAGATGGAGTCTTGCTCTGTTGCCCAGGCTGGAGTGCAGTGGCATGATCTCGGCTCACTGCAATCTCCACCTCCCGGGTTCAAGCAATTCTCCTGCCTTAACTTCCCAAGTAGCTGGGACTAGAGGCACCACCACACCCAGCTAATTTTTGTATTTTTAGTAGTGACGGGTTTCACTGTGTGTTGGCCAGGGTGGTCTTGAACTACTGACCTCAAGTGATGTGCCCACCTTGGTCTCCCAAAGTGCTGAGTGTGGTGGTTCAAGCCTATAATCCCAGCACTTTGGAGGGCTGTTTAGTTGTTCATAGTTTCCATCCATGTCTGAACTGTTATCTATTTAGAAGTCCCTGGTCTTGTTACTTCTGAAATGAAATAGTGACAAAGTATCATGGATTCTGAGTTAAATCGCCTTATTTCAAATGGTCAGCTTTGTGGAGTTACTGAAAAGAGAGGGATATACCCATGTTCATTCTCATAGAATCTCTCAACAGTAAAGTCTATGTAAATTTTCCTGAACTCTAGCTTGGACTTCCTGGCCTATACCACACTGCATGTGTAAACCCTTAATATGACTTCATTTATTGGCTGATAACATTTTTGTTTTCAGTCTAGTATGTAGTCCCTCTTAGCATAACCAGTCTTGAAGGAGATTCTAATAACACCTTGTCTGAAGTTATGGGAGAAATTTTGGAGTGTTAGAATGGAAAAGATCTTGGAAATCATTTTCTAAGTTCAACTTTCTTCTTTTGGGGAAACAGACCTAGAGAAGTTACTTGACCAAGAGTAATGAAGGGAGTCCAGGAGGATTAGAATATAACACACTATCAAGTGAAATATAATATTTAAATGGCTGGTTCTATTTCATTGTAAACAATGGCACTCAAGGTATAAAAATACCACTTTCACAAATTTACACATTTATTCCTTAAAGATTAAAGAAATAAAAGGAAATCATTCAACATATTGAAACAACCTATAATCTCATATTAATTAGATGCAACTTAGGTCTTTCCCTTTTTACCTTTTAATAATGTCTATTTGAAATGAGACTTTGCTTGCATGTAGAACAACTAATCCTCAATTGGAAAGTTACTTTTATGTATGTGATTATCAAATTTCAAAATAAAATAAGATTAGTTCAAAATAATTTGGTGAAAACTAACCTGAACTTTATATGTTGCTTTGTTTAAAATGACAAGGAACTTTGAATGGCCAGGAATTCAAATAGAGATCAAAGTAGTTTTTTT